ATATATATATATATATATATATATATATATATATATATATATATATATATATATATATATATATATTTGTGTGTGTGTGTTAAAAGTCTACAAATGTGCTCATTTTCTTTGGTCACAACCTCTGCCATTCAACTTAAGAACATGTACATCAAAGTAGTTAATGTCAATTAGAACAACAGAAAACACGATATAGCACAGAAGAAAAGGAAGAACCATATCTGATGCAGAGAACTCTCCACCTGCATCTGCTGCCTTCTCAGCCTTGGACTGCTCACACCCAATGTGAGATGATGCGAATTTGAGTAGTATATGCTTGCTCCATGATTCCTGAAAACCCAAGGAAGAATGGAGATAGCTAAACCACCAAGCACACTCCCAGTTGTTGAACAAAACCAAGGTGACGTCTGTGGTGAAGAAGAAGACTCTGATGTGTAACTGTTGCCAAGACCAGCATAAGAGGGGTAGTGGTGTTGATGGCGAAACTGAGGCTGCTGGGCTTCATTCATCCTAGGGGAATCATTCTCGAGTGCCGAAGTAATTGTTGCACCACCACGGTGATGGTGAAGGGTCGGTCGATGTGGGACAGCAGAATCTCCCTTGGTGCTGTGCCTGCCGCGACCGTAGAGTGGGATGAGGGTATCCTGAGAGAGAAGGGCCTTGCAGACAGGGCACTGCTGATTAGATATGCTCTCAACCTGCATCCATTTGAAGATGCAAGGCCAACAATAGAGATGACCGCACAGTGTGACCACTGGATCAACGGCAAATTCCAAACAGATGCTGCAGTCAAAGCAAAAATTCATGGACCGTGCCGAAGCAGCATCATCTGATGCACCACACTTCATCAGTGGTTTCTTCTCTTGCAATTTCTCTGCCTCATGGTGACAGGAGCAACCACTAATGATATGGGCTTGGGGAATGTCTTCAACCTCCTACTACACCTGGAATACTTCTGCAAGATGGTCACACAAACTGGATGAAGAACATAATGCAACAAAACGGAGCCATGCAAGACTCAAAGATAAACTACGGCACACACTACAAGGTATGGTACTGTTGACACAATCAACAGACAGGGACCACATTGGCCTGTTCAATTCTGTAGATGCTAACCAGTTCATATAAAAATATGTGCCAGTGGATAGAAGATAACATTGTCCTTCTCATGGTTGATAAGAAAAGGAACGGCAAGGAGCATATAGACCAAGACAAGTTGTTCGGCATGGAGCCAAAGTGGTGTTTGTCCTTTTGTACCATAGCCAAACAGAAAAGGGAGGACCACTGATAACTCATGGAAACACAATGCCATGCATGGACACTTCCAGAACACCACCAAAATTCAATGCAAGGTTGATCAGTGAAAATGACAAACATGTGACGATGACAAGGAGTTGGTTCACAAGAAAATGGTGATCGTCATAGGGTTTATGGTTATCAGGAGTGGAACATGAAGCAGGCAACAGAATCTGCAGATATACCCAACAGTATAAGAAATGGAAGAGAAGAAACAGGGATGCTTTAACCAGAACTCGCTTAAATAATTCAAACTATTGATTGAAATAACATATGCCTTCTGGCAATTGAAGCCATTGAATTACGGCAACAATTAGCTGTTGCCACAATTATTGTCCTTAATACAGGATGCAACAATTATTGCCCTTAATACAAAGAAGGCATGACTTGATAACAAGAAACCAAGATCTTGTTGTTCCTTCACAGGTATAATGGACTTTTATGATTGTTCGAGCTTAAAATTATATTTTCTGAAGCTTATCTACTTTATGCAATATGCTTTAATGCACAAAAGGCCCATAAAACACTTACCAACCACCCCAATTTACCATTTTAAGGGCCATGACTTGTGATTCAAAAATTTTATATCTTCACAGAGAGAGAGAGAGAGAGAGAGAGAGAGAGAGAGAGAGAGAGAGAGAGAGAGAGAGAGAGAGAAGGAGGAGGAACAATTAGAACCCAAATAGCAGCGAAAGGCAAACATTAGTCTCCATGATTTATAATTAAATTCATGATTTCGATATCTATTGCATAAAAAAAATTCCCCACACATGTGCTAACAAATCTTCCAAAAAATTAATCAAAGAAATTCTTCATCGATAAAAGAGAATAGTCATTAACATCTAATTGAGTTTATATCACACTCAGATATCACACCATCGAGATAGGTTCTTAAACTAAGAGGAAAGAATCAGAGGAACCAGGCAAAGCTTCAGAGGATTATCAACCCACAAAAAGAACAAGAAACATGACACAAGAAATTTACACACCTAATTTTTCAAGCACAACAAAGATGATCTCTTTTTCGTCAAACCATCCCAAAAGATGGTCATTGAACCAGCCAAAATCCCTACCTAATGAGATCAGAGTTTTATGGAAGAAGAACATGGAAAATGGACAGATCTACATACGAACAGCCACCATGAACAAAACCCATCCGATCACACGTTCCTCAAAACCCTCAGAATCAAAGCAAAGACCTATACCCCTCCCTGCATTACAACACATGTGACACAAAAAGTTCCTTTTTCCCCTTTCCCTCTATGTTGCTCGTGAAAAAAATCAGTCGAGTACAAGAAGATAGGGCGAAAGATACCAAATTTATCACATCGTTGCATCAAATCATCGTTCTTCTGAATGAAAACGAAACCGAGAACCTCTAAAAAGGGGGGAAAACTGCAAGCAACACAAAGCAAATATCAGAACAGCTAAAGAAGCTCCACCCACATACCTTCCCAAGAGCAGGAGAAGGTGATCGATCTATTTATGTTTCCTTCGAGCTCACGCGAGGAGGAGTCGGGCCAAGCGGGACTCGGTATTTATAGACGAAAGCGAAGCGGGGGAGAGACATCCACTTCGCACGTGCCACGCTTCTAACTTCTTCTAATCCTCAATAATAAACGTATAATTAATTGTATGGGGAGAAAAAAACCAAAATCTTTCGCTTATGTTCCACCGACTTACCTAACGTTGGCCCATGTGGGCCCCGATTTTTAGGCAAATGAAAGTTAGGTATATAACGAGCCTGTGAATCAATAGTAATCGTTTTACACGTCAATAATGATGGACTTCTTAGGTTCTTGCCGATAAAGGTCAGAGTCAATCAATGTTCAGTTTCGAGTCTATCTTAGAAATATGTCTGACCAAATCTCGTAAGTCAACAATAGTTTAATAGAGTTGATAAAGTGCTGAAGTAGATAATTACGCGTGTCATGTGGTCATCAATAGATCATGTGATCGTGGGTTAGGTGGTCGACTCATGAGGCCGAGTTGACATTCTTATTACTATCACACTCTAATCTCGTACGTCCGTTCCTACTTAATGTGTTAGTCAAATGATAACGGACGTTAATAAGACGAAGATAGCGTGTCAAACATTTGACGGTGACACAATCAACATGTGTTAAACATTGTCTTGTATATCATGTAATATATTCTTGGTCTTAATTTTTTTTCTTCTTTCAACATGAGCTTGGAATCTCTCTGTTAAGGGATAACATCTTACAAGGCAAATTAACGTAAGCCTCTAGCTTTCTTGGGGGGGAAATCCAATGGCTTGCAATGGTCTTCTAATGACAACATAAGTTATATTCATGTCGGAGAGTTAAATAAGCAAATTATAAACAATCACTAAAGATGGAAAAGAAAGATGAATGAGAGTTTTTATCGCTATCGACACAAATCTTCATAATAATACAAGAAATAATTAGACGAAGACAAGATTTAGCCCATGATGAATGTTGTGATATTAAGAGTTCAACAATAAGTTGAGCTTTTATGCATATGAAATATATATATAAGTAATTTTGAGATTATACTATAACGCGAAATCTTATAGGAAGCATCGGATCCATCAACTGTTAACTGACATGAAATAACGGTCACATACGTCCGAAGGAAAGCTATAAATGTGAAGCCACCATCTTCCCTACACCGCCGACCACTCAATCCTCCAAAGAAGCCGGCCTCCGGAGAAAATGTCGAAGCCGGTGGTCGTCGCCTATCTTCTTCTAGCCGTCCCCATCCTCATCCTCCTCTCCTTCTCCAGAGCACCGCACATGGCCTCCAGGCATCCGCGCAGTCGCCGGCTAGCCCACCCCCACCACGTCGCCTTCGACCCTCTCCTCGTCCAGATCGAGCGCCGGGCCGAGGAGCGCGGCCTGCTCGACGTCGAGACCTTCAAGCGGAAGCTGGACGACATCTGGGCGAGGCAGGATTGGAGCAAGATGGCGGAGGAGATCGGCATCCTCGATGAGTACTTCGGCGAGGACGGCCGGCTTAACCTGACGGAGAGATTGGCGTATCTTTTCCCGTTGTTAGATAGGTTACCGCAGGACGGGGGAATAAGCCGCTACGAGCTCGATGTCTGGAATCAGAGGCAGGCGTTGGACCGGCTGATCTACCACACCGAGCGGAAGATGAAGCTCCACGATCACGACGGAGATGGCGCCGTAACGCTTCCAGAGTTCCTGTCGTATCTCCCAGACGAAGAAACAGGTTTGCTTTGATGTCTTGTTCGTGGTACTCCGTCTATGTTTCGCCTGTATGATATGATTGTCGCCGAACAGCAAGGAACAGCAAGGAACATGGGGAACCTGGGTGGTGGAAGGAGCAGTTCTCTAATGCTGATAGGGATGGCAATGGCTTTCTCAGTGCATTCGAATTCAATGAGTAATGCATCGTATTGTTTGTTGGACGAATTCATATACGTGTAAGCATGCATGTGTTCCTTATGAGCAAACAAGCAATCTTCTTGTTGTGTAGTTTCTTACATCCCGAAGACAGCACAAACCCAAAGATACAGCTATGGCTGCTGAAGGAGAAACTAAGGTATTAGGTCAAGGTTCTATCTTGTCTGTTCTAGTGTGTAGTATTCATCTACATTGTTTGGGGCTCAGGGAAATGGATGAGAACAAAGATGGGAAGTTAAGCTTCGTGGAATTTGGTGGTAGAGCGCAGGAAATATATCAAACATACGCCGATTTTGAAGAAGATGACCTCCGACACCATGAACTCGACGTTGAGGATGAGTTCAGAAAGCTTGATATCAACAGAGACAGGTGCATATATCTTCTCAAAGAACTAGAAATGATCTGTTTTCTCATACGATCTGTTTCCAGATTTCTGACAGCTGAAGAACTGAAGCCTATCATCCATCGCCTCTACCCCGGAGAGCTTTCCCAATCTAAATATTATACCAAGTACTTGTTGCATAAGGTATCTTTCTCCAAGAGAAAACTTCGTACAGTACATCATCTTGGATGTCGTTTACACTCATATGTTATGCAGGCCGATGACGATGGAGATGGCAAGTTGACGCTGGAGGAGATGGTGCACCACCAGTATGCCTTCTACAGCACCGTCTTTGAGGAACAGCAGGTTGACGACTACGACGACTATGATTACCATGACGAGCTCCGGCGATGATCGCCATGAATGCATGCACTTGTTTTGGGATGTCAGTATGATCCTACATTTTTGTGTGTGTAATGTGATGAACAATATAATTAGAGAGTAATTTTGTCCATTATTTAATTAATATTTGTGTAATATGAAGGATTTGAGGAGACCCAATCGAAATTTTCATCACTTTTATGCCACTCCCAATTAAGCGTCTTACAATCCAGCTTCAAACTCGGGTTGAATTGAACCTAATCGATCCACTGAAATTGAACTCGGGTTCAGCTCGATTTGAGATATGGCTCGCATTGGGCTCGATGGATTAGGCAATAACGTTGAAGCGGCGACTCGTCAAGTACGCATAAAGTCAAGTCAACGCGGTTCAATGACACGCACGACAAAACCAAAGCTGGTCCGACGGGCTCGATCGATTCCCGACTCCAAACACTATAAATTGCGGTCGAACCAACCCTAGAACAAGAAAAAGGGGGCTTTTGAGTAGGAGATTTTCCTGAGTTCGTCTTGGAGATCGATGCCAAGTCGCGCTGCCGTGATCCTGCTGGGTCTCTTGCTTGCAGGTACCTTCGCCATCCGGCGTATCGGAGACGATCTATTCTCATCTCCTTCGTTCTAGGATTTGATCGCTAGTTCTCGGTTTGCTTAATGAATGGATGAATTAATTCGTTTTGCGGGGAGTCGCGTTTTTATCGGCTTCTTTACCTTTTCTGGTTTTCTTGTACTAATGTAGGATCTGATATTGATTAGTGATTTATTTGCGAGGGGAGCCGGAGCATATGATTTGTTTGCTCGTAAATCGAGTCGAAATCAGCTTGGAATTGCCCTGTGATCTAGAATTTGTGGATTGGTCTAGACGCTTGAGCTTGATGACTCATGCTTCTGATATTTCTTGAATATGTTTTGTCAAATGTTTGGTACTCGAGTGCTTGACTTCGAATAAATTCTTGTTGTTTCTACGATGCATGATTGGGATATAAGCTTTCCTTGCAGTTAAGATTGTGTTGAATAAAGCATGTCCCCCAATTTTGCTTTTCTTTTTTTTGTTGAAGTTGGATCAGAGAAAAAGGAGTGGGGTTTGTGTTTTTTTGGGATGAAAGAAACGGCCATCAGTTGTTGGATATGAGCATTAGCCATGGAGCTAAACTATTTTTCACATGACGGTTATGGTATAAATACCATCTTGGCAACTAGGAACTATAGTTACTGTTTAATGATCCCCAGGTGTTGGGGAACCTTATTCTGTGACTGATGGATAAGCTCGGCTTGGTCCAATCCCGAGTGCGCAGAGCCGCCTACGTGGCTGCTTGAACTGAGGTGGCCGGCATTAGGTCGGGTCCAGGCTTCATCTCCATAATCGATCCAAGGTAGATCAAGGAGTTTCTCTTCCTCCTGTGCCAGGTTGCTGCTTCGTTGTTGAGTTCCTACACACAGGCCGAGGTCGGGAGGGGGATTTCCCGACTCGATCCCTCCAAAGCTCAAGTCAATTTTGAGTGGAGTTAGGGGGAGTTGAGGTTCGAAGTTCGACCCCTGATGCTGGTCAGGAGGTTGGCTTTTATACCTGCGAATGAAGGTTGATCGTACATGGTTTGTTAATGGTCGTCGACTCCTCGGGCGGTCGACTCGTACCTTCCGTACAGGCACTAATCGATCTGCACGGATCAGCATTGTGCGGCGTCGTTCCAAGCTTTTCGGAGTGGCTCTGTACTATGTGACACCGTCTTGTATGGCCTCGGAAAGCGTGGGAGCAGGTGGTCGTCCCATCGGAGTTCGAGGTGTCGCGTCGACGCAGTGCACCACATCAGCCCTGAGGCTCTACGTTGGCACTGACGTGGCTGCTGATTGTTGTCATGGGGGTGGTACTAAAATATACCCTATCATTCTCTCCCCTCCCCAAAGAGGCGTGCCCCAGGTTCCTCGTGGAGGGAATCAGGGCATGGCTTGGTGCCTTTTACTGGCTGGGTCGACTGTCGTGCTGGGATTGGTGGTTCGGTCGTAGGTTGACTGGGAGCTTCTATTCGGGAGTTGGATTGGTCGAGCAACACTACTCGGGCGCAGGATTGGTCGAGCAATACTGCTTGGGCGCAGGATTGGCCGAGCAACACTGCTCGGGCATTGATTTGGTCGAGCACATTGCTTGGGTACTAGGCTAGCCGAGCGACATTACTCGGGCATAGGATTGGTCGAACAACGCTGCTTGGGCACAGGTTTGGCCGAGCAACATTACTCGGGCATCGAACTGGTCGAGACATGACTCGGATATTGGATTAGCCACGAGGTGTAGCTTGGGCATTGGATTGGTCGTGAGGCGTGGTTCGGGCATTGGACTGGCCGAGATGCGAACTCGGACAATGGATTGGTCGAGACGTGACTCGAACATTAGATTGGCCGCGAGGCGTGGCTCGGGCATCAGATTAGTCGCGAGGAGTGGTTCGGGCATTGGGCTGGCCGAGATGTGACTTAGACATTGGGCTGGCTGCGAGGCGTGGCTGGGGCATTGGACAGGCTGAGATGCGACTCGGACATTGGATTGGTCGCGAGGCGTAGCTCGGGCATTGGACTGGCCGAGGCATGACTCAGACATTGTTTGGTCGAGGTGCACAACTCGGACACTATTTGGCCGAGGTGCACGACTTGGACACTGTTTGGGTGAGGTGCGCAACTCGGGCACTGTTTGGCCAAGGTGCACGACTTGGACACTGTTTGGCTAAGGTGCACGACTCGGACATTGTTTGGTCGAAGTGTACAACTTGGACACTATTTGGCTGAGGTGCACAACTTGGGCAAAACTCGGGCACTGTTTGGCCAAGATACACTACTCGTACACTGTTTGGCCGAGGTCACACTCGGACACTGTTTAGCCGAGGTGCACGACTCGAATACTGTTTAGCCGAGGTGCACGACTCGGGCATTGTTTGGCCGAGGTGCACGACTCGGGCACTCTTTGGCCGTGGTGTATGGCTCGGACACTGTTTGGCCGAGATGCACAACTCTGACATTGTTTGGTCGAGATGCACAACTCGGACACTATTTGGCCGAGGTGCACTACTCGGGCACTATCTGGTTGAGGTGCACGACTCGAACATTGTTTGGTTGAGGTGCATGAC